GGCAGTCCGCACCGCGCCTGTAGAACTCGAGTCGGCCCCCAGCCCGCAGGCGACATGTCTGCGGGTTTACGCGCTCGCCTCCGTTGTCCTTTCGGGGGTCATAGGGGCCGCGTCTGCGCGCGTCCTAGTAGACGTTTGGGGCCTGGCCCGTCGTCTGGAAGCGGATGTCCCCGCTCTGCTGCGCGGCCGGGGGCAGCGCTGCGCCCGGGGGCGCGCCTGTTGGAGGGGGCAGCTGCAAGGCCTTCCCAGTGCCAGATAGCACCGCCCTGGATATTGAGCCGATTCGGAGGCCAATGCGTGATCCTACCAAGTCCTGCGAGAGCGCGCAGATGGCGCACTCGTGCTGGCGCAGATCGGCGGGGGCGCGAGCTGGTTGCAGACGGTCAAGGGCGTCTCTGAATGGAAAATCGCGGGCGGCAGTCCCCTTCCACGCGGATGCTTGCTGAGAGCGGTCGACAAAAAAGGCGACGGCGGGCAACAGCGACCAGTCGCGAACAGGCCTTGACACATAAAATCCTCGACGCGCCCGTTGAGCCGGCGGATGCCCAGCTCGGCGAGGTTTGGGAATTCCCCCAAACTGCTGTGGACCGGGAGCCCGCCTTTGTTGAGGGATGCATGTGTCGAGAGCCGCCGATGTCGCCAACGTGCCTGGGGCTTCCGCATGGGGGCCGAGGTAGGACGAGGTTCTCGGACAAGCAGGAGCAGAATCACTAGCGCACTGTTGGCCCAGAAGCGGGCGACGGGAACTTTTGTCGGGTCGCATAGCCGGCCACCAATCGCCGGGCTGTCGCGGCCATGGGCCCCGCGAGGGTGGGCTGCCAGCGGTGGCGGCAACACTCACAGGTGGACTTGCTCCGTGAGAAGGGGGGGGCCTCATGGTGCCGGCGGGCGGCTGGTCGGTGGATTTCTTCCAGCGGCTATCCCCGCGGCGCCCCCATGGGCGGGGGGAGCAGTACTCTCCTCGGGGATGCCTGCCTCGGGGTCGGTGCAGGGCCGGGGTCGACCTGCAGCAGGCATGCCCAGGTGGCGGTGTGCACGTAGTTGGCGGGGTCCCGCCCGAGCTCACTGTCGAAGAGGTAGCCGCCATGGCCCCCCATCTTGCGGCATTGTTCAAATAGGCCCCTGGGTGCGTCACCGGGGCCGTGCACGTGCGAATGTAGGCTGAGGACGTAGTAGACATCCGTGGCCAGGGCGGTGTCCGTCAGTAGGGCGGTGCCCGTGGTTTGGAGCTCCTCGGCAAGCTTTTCCCAGCAATGGCCTTGGGGTAGTCTGCTGTCGTACAGGGTCTGGAATCCAAGGGCGCGCTGGTCGGCCTTCTTCTACGCCTTGCGGCCCTCAGAGCGCTTATCATGTTCCGCCGCAAACCTCGCCTGTTCCTCCTGAGTGAGGTTGGGGGTCTCGGAATTGATGGGGGCGTCTTGGACCTTGTCATGGGTGAAACCCGGTGTCTCGGTCAGCTGCCGTCGGGTCCCTGGGGCGTTATTACACTGGGTCCACAGTCCTGCCTCGTTCGCCCAGTCGGAAAAATGTGTGCATCTGGAATTCTGTGGCAGAAGCATCCACCCTGATGTTCAAATCACTATGATACCTTCCCGGGCCCGAATGAATGCAACGTTCATCCGATGGGGGTCATCGACGAATCCCAGTGGCCGCAGGAGTTGGATCGAATGGTGTACATACTTGCCTGATTTGCCTCGTTCCCTCGGCTGCCGTCGACGGTCGAAACGCTGATGAGCCCTTTCTCAAAGAAGCGGCGGCATGCGTGTTCGAGGCCGCTGGATTGGAGATCGAGTCCGTTGAGGGGGCTGGCAGTCTGTCGTCCGAACACGCGCCCGCTGTGGAGTCCTTTCCTTGTCCTTCATTTTTTCTGGGTGCCGTGGGTGGGTGGGGGCGTGGAGCCGCGGGAGCTGGGGGGTGCGCCTTTTGGGTGGGGCCCGCCCTTTCCCTTGTTCGCAGGCCCGTCGTGGTTGGCCTGCAGGAAGGTTGCTGGGTCGATGGGCCAGCCTTTCTTGATGATCGCTGCCTGCACCCGGTTGCCGCAGAGGACGAGGACGCCTTTGTTGTTGTCCAGGATGTGGTCCTCGACGGCCTGGACTATGTCACAAACCGTTGCGGCCTCTCTGAGGTTGGCTGTGCCTTCTGCTAGGCTTGTGGGGAATTCGGCTGACTTCTCGTGGACGACCAGGACCCTCATGTGGTCCCCGGGCTGTGCGCCGTGCTGGGCGCTGCGGAAGCCGTTGGTCCCGATAACGGGGTCCCCGTCGCTATCCTGGGTGGAGTCAGGTGGGGTGTCGTGGTAGGCTGGTCTGGCCTCCCTCCACGGCAGTCTGGGGTTGAGGGGCTTCTGGTTGATGCAGTGGGTGAGGCCAAAGACCAATTTCCATTCGTAGAAGCGGTGGAGAGGCCGCATCCATACATACACACATGCATACATGCATATGTATGTCTGTGTATATATGTATATATATAACGTACGTACATATGGATAGTATGTTCGTTATGTTCGGACTCTGGGGGCCCTTGCTGGGCCACGTGGGCGTCGAAGAATGAAAATTCCGTCCCGGGGAAGGGGTCTGGACCTCTGGGGTCTGGGGG